AAAAAAAAAAAAAAAAAAAAAAAAAATTAAACAGAAAAAAAAAATCCCATTAAAAAATGGGCAAAGGATCTGAAGGATCCGAATAGATATTTCTCAAAGGAAGAGATGAAAATGGCCAAGATAACAAGGGTACCTGCATGGTGAACATTTGTATACCTAACCCTGAATTGTACCCCACAACTTTAAAATAAGAAAAATTAAAAGAAAAAAAAAGAAAGAAAATGGCTAAGAGGCATGTGAAAAAAAAAAATCATCAGGGCAATGTAAATTAAAACCACAATGAGATATCATCTTACCAAAGTGAGCATGGTTATTATCAAAAAGAAAAAAAAATAGCAAATGCAGAGAAAAGGAAACTCTTATGTGCTGCTGGTGGGAATACACATTAGTACGGCCACTATAGAAAATGGTATGAAGGCTTCTCAAAATACTGAAAACTGAACTACCATATAATCCAGCAACTCCACTATTTCTCCAAAGAAGAAGAAATCAAAGGGATACCTACATCCCATATTTACTGCAGCACTATTTACAATAGCCAAAATATAAAATCATCATAAGTGTCCATCAGCAGATGAATGGATAAAGAAAATGTTGTATATATCCACAATGGATCACTATTCAGCCATTTAAAAAATTAAATCCTGTCATTTGCAGTAATATGAAAGAAACAATAGGTCATTATGTTAAGTGAAATAAGGCAGACAAAGAAGACAAATATTGCATGATCTCATTCATATGTGAGAGCTTAAAAAGTTGATCTCATGGAGGTAGAGAACAGAATGATGATTACCAGAGGCTGGAAAAGGTGTTGGCTAGGGTGGAGGGGAAATGTGATGAAAGAGATTGGTTAATCGCTACAAATATGCAGTTAGATAGAAGAAATGAGTTCTAGTGTTTGATAGCACAGTATGGCGACTATAGTTAATGACAATCTTGAATATTTCAAAATAGCTAGAAAAGAAGATTTGAAATGTTCCCAACACACACAAAAGATAGTCAAGCGATGAATATCCTAAATACCCTACTTCAATCATTATACATTGTATGCAAGTACCAAAATATCACATGTACCACATAAATATGTATAATTATTATGTACCAATTTTTTCAAAAAATGGAATCAGATTTACAGAGATATTAATGTTAATTTCAAATCTTCTGGCTTTATTCTGTACAAATAAAAGAAACATTGAAAGTTTTCAAGAAGCAGAGTCATAGTAATATGAGACATAGCTTGGTCAAATAACTTGAAAAAGATACCACAAAAATATAAACAATATATGCTAAAGTTTTGGCAAATAAAACCAATTTAACTTTTATTTTTTAAAATACAAATAATTATTAAAACATATTTTAGTATAATTCACCTAAAGTTCATTTCAATAGGCCTTGAAAAGCTATCTGACATAATCCAACAATCAAAATCTAAAACTTATTTAGAAAATTTTAAAAAACAGAAAATTTTAAGGAATAATATAACTATCAGTGTTCTCATGATCTCTTAACCTAGAACAGGTTTTTGTTGCTATTCCAGCATTTGCTTCAAGACTACATTTTAAAAATAAAATATGAGTTCACATATAATAGAATATAAAGCTTAGATCCTTTTTTATAATGATCCCTAGTTTTATTCCTGTGCTCTCCTTCTTTGAAACAGTCACTATTTTTTGTTAGTATCCCTTTCAATACATTAAAATTACTTTTCCAGACATACACACACATGAAAAATAGACTTTGTATGTGTTTTCAAATTTAAAAAATGATATTAATTGTACATACTATTTGGTAACTTGCTTTTTTCACTCAATATTAGGTTTTGACAATCTAGTAAAGTTGATATTTATGTAATTAGTTAATTTTCACATAGCTTTTCTACCAACCTGATCATTCCCCTCTGCAAAATATAAATGATTACTAAATCAATAAAAATTCACAAGCAACTTTTTTGTCAAATATGCAAAGAACAGTTGATATTCCTAAATTCTATGAATTATCTGAAACTAGAGAGATAAAGCTAAGTGCCTTATTTTTCTGAGGTTAATATAATTTTGATACCCAAATTAATCAGATAATTTAGGAAAAGATAGTCATATCATATCAAGCACAGATACATAAGTCTAAATCAAACAAAGCAAATCAAATCCAGGAAAATTTTAAAATCATATCCTAAAAATATGAGACTAGTCCAACTTCTGAAAAGCTGTCAGTGTAATCTGCCATGTTCAAATATTAAAGGATGAAAGTAGATTTTGCTATCACCACAGTGATAGCAAACCATGGAGATTTTTTCAAGTTTTGAGCACAGGGATGTCTACATCTAATCTACTTCTACATCCATATACACTTTTGCATAGCTTTAATAAACTAGAGGTAAAAATAAATTTCCTTAACCTAAAAAAATGTAGCTATAAAAACATTTAAATTTTCTAATTAATAGCAAAGTACTAACATCCTTTCCATCAAAGTCAGAGGCAAGGGAAGACAGCCCTAACATTTTTAAAATATCCATATAACAAAAATAATTTCCTATATACCAACAATAAGCCATTTAACCCTATAATGAAAAAAACAATCTCATTGATATTAGTGATAAAAATTTAAGATACCTAGGAAAAAATGTAACAAGGCATGTATAGAACTTACATGAGGAAAATCACACGAATTTACTAATGAACCTAAAATATTACCTATACATTTTATTCTCTTTTTTTCCCCTTCTTTTTATTATAAAGATGTGGGGTACAATTCAGGGTTAGGTATACAAACGTTGATTATTCAAGTTCCCTTGTTGATGAGGTGTGTCCCTCCCTCCCCTAGCAGTTTCCTTCAACTGCCAATCCCACCCCCATTTTATTCTCTTACATAAAAATAAACAGCAGATGGATTAAACAATAAAATTGTCTAACTCTGTAAGATTTCTCAAAAGCATAAACAGATATTACAAATAAAAAAGAAAAGCTCAAAAAATGATCAAAGTTCATAAATAGGCAATTCACAATAATAGAAACACAAAGGCTAATAAAAACCAGAACAATCAACTACATTAGTAGGAGGCACATAATTTATAATAATTTTGCCTGTCAAATTTGCAAACATAAAAAATAATAATTTCATATTAGCAAAGGAATTGATAAGGGATAAATTACAAACTCTATTGTTAAAAATAGAGAAAAATTGGCAATATATATCAAAACATTTGGATTTTCACATTTTCTTTCCCAGGTGGTTCCACTTCTAGAAAATTTATCATAAGAAATATCCATAGAAACTGAGTGCAGTGGCTCACACCTGTAAATCTAGCATCTTGGGAGGCCAAGGCAGAAGGACTGCTTAAGCCCAGCAATTCAAGGCAAGTCTAGGCAACACAGCAAAACCCTATCTCTACAAAAAATAGAAAAATTAGCTGGGTATGGTGGCACATGCCTATAGTACCAGCTACCTGGGAGGCTGGGGAGGGAGGATCACTTGAACCCAGGAGGTTGAGGCTGCAGTGAGCAATGATTATGCCACTGTGTTCAGTATGGGTGACAGAGTGAGACTCCAACTCCAACACACACACACACACACAAATAAAAACTAAAAATAATCATAGATAAGCACAGTCTTTAGTTCCAAATATGTTCACAGCAGCTTTATAAATTACAGTGAATAGTGAAAACTAAGCATCCAATAAAAGGGTTATTACATTAGTTTATTTATAAAATATAAGTTTAAAATGTTTGAAAATATTAACTGATGAAAATATTATAATAAATTTAATGACAGAAAATTTTAATATAATTTTTCTTTAAGAAAAATGAAAGTGATAACTAAAGTATTAGATATATGTGATTTATCTATAAATAATATAATTACAATGCTAACCCTTTCATAGTGTTTATTTACTTCTAATTTTTTAAAATGATTCCCTGAGTCACAATGAGGAATAAAGAAACAAAATTATTTTGAAATTTTTAAAAAACGCTAAATGAGGTGGTTGGACAAGTGGTGACACAAAGTCTTTACAGGTTTAACATTATTTAATTCTAGAATGTATTTTTTAAAAGGAATTGAAAGCTATTCAAAAGCCTATTAGAATTTTAATCAAAATCTCAGCAAGATTTTAAAAAATTGACAAAGTAATACAAGTCATCAAAAAGAATTGTTAATTTTTTTTCTGAAAGAGGGTTGATATATATGCACTACTAAGTGTAAGATGTTACAATTATTAAATGACCAAAACATGAAATATGTACATTAAAATAAGTCTTCAAATAACTTGTAGTGATGTGAAGATGTCAACACTCTAATATTAGGTATGAAAAAAAGATGTATCCAACTATTTTAAAAACAGAAATAGATAGATGATAGATAGATGACAGAAGACTACAAGGACATTTAAAAAATGTTACCAGTGTTTATTTATGGAATTGTAATGTTAATATTTTCTGTGAAAATATACTTTTTCAAGTATGATAAAAACATAAATATCATACCATTATCTTTTTTTCCTTATGGAACTTCTTTAGAAATTCTCTGTATCTTTCTAATTGTCTACGAGAACCTTAAAAAAATAAAAGAATTTCCATCATATGTATATTATATATCCTTTCAAAATATTTAAATACTTTAAAGAAATTATATATGAAACTATTCATTGAAGGCAATTAACTATTTTAATGAGTATATGCTAAATATATACTCTTAGCTGCATGTAAATGGAACAATTATATTTAGTACATTTTCTGTTTTTTATTTTATTCTGAAATTTCATGTTCCAACTAACATATCTAGGATACTTACTCCTATCTAAAGACTTACCTTAACCCCTTTCAACTGAGCAAGTCTCTGTTTTTAAAACAGTTCAGGCACTTACATTTGGTTGTTTCATGGTTATCTTAAATTCAATAAAGTAAAGTACTGTGGAGCATGGCTCAGCAAAAGACTACGTGGACTTGGAAGTTAGATAACCTAGACTTGAATCTGAGCACTGATACTTACATACTGCAGAAAATGAATGTACACAAAATTCCTATTTTTGAGAGCAGAAGGAATGTATGAAGGGATATATTTTAGGATATACTTTGTTTACTAATGGGTATTTTATTTCTTTACAAAAAATTTATCTGTGTGTATGTATACAGGCTATAAACGTATATAGAAAAATTAGCTGGGCATGGTGGAGCATGCCTGTAGTCCCAGTTACTCCAAAGGCTGAAAAGGGAGGATTACTTGAGCCCATGAGGTTAACGCTGTGGTGAGCTGTGATCGTGCCACTGTACTCCAGCCTGGGTGACAGAACAAGATCCTGACTCAAAAAAGATAATAAAATAATAGTTTATACAAAAGCTACATATTGCTTGCATAAGTTAAAAAAAATTATATTTTAAATATTTAAAATTTCAGTAAGAAAATTTTAAATAGTGAATTTAATTCATGAATATTTAAATAAATCGACAGAATTTCACAAATCTAAGTCCAAAAAAGAAAATTAAATATCTAAATAACATAACTAATTGAATTTATTTAATACATAAAAATGGAAGGGCAACTATCATCATTTTTAAAGCTTATATGTGATAAGTTTGTCCATTAAATCAAGAACAAATCAAGAATCACTGCAAGTATTTACAACTATTCTGGAAATGTTAATTAATACAATTATATAAGAAAAAGTTACACAAATACTGAAAAGAAGTAAAAATTATCATTACCTGCAGTATTATTTTCATTCATTCAGTTAATGCACACTGAATACTAATTACTAATCTAGCCTATGTAGATTAACTCTCACACCTTTGAGTTTTTGTTTTACTTATTTTTATTCTATCTTGATTGATTTGTTCACTTTAGTTGGGGTCTCACTCTGTCACCCAGGTTGGAGAACAATGGTGCAATCACATCTCACTGCAGACTAAACCTTCTGGGCTCATGTGATCCTGTCGCCTAAGCCTTCTGAGTAGCTGGTACTATAGGCATGCACCATCACACTCAGCTATTTTTCTCATTTTTTTTGTAGAGATGAGGTTTCGGTATGTTGCCCAGGCGGGTCTCCTGGGCTCCTGGGCTCAAGCAATCCTTCTGCCTTGACATCACAAAGTGCTGGGATTACAGACATGAGCCATTGAAACTAGTAGATGTGTTTGTTTCTAGTTAACAATATTAGTTGGTGCTACCCTGTTTTCCTGTTTCCTCGATACTTTGTATCTCTACTCCAGTTGAACAGTTTAACAACTGTTTTAGGTTTTGTCCTAGTAGCCCCTTTTTGAAACATGTTTGTGTTCAACTAAAAATCTGTATTGGATTATTTTATAATGAGGAGGTTTCACAATAAAAATTGTTTCTGTTTTAAGATATTTTACACTTTAGGATTTCATTCTTTATGAGATTAAACACACACACACAGACTATTACTTTACTCATAAAAAAATAAGGCTTACTTGTCTCAAAAATTACACGTTTCCACTCATATATTTTAGAGGCGTGGTTTTGCAAAAGAAGTGAACATTCATTTAATCTTGACTCCATGATTGAGGTTGCTTCATATATTCGGGGAACATTTTTCCACAGGTGTGTATAAATTGAGATAAATGAACTATCTTCTTTTATTGCTTTCAGGATGCCTGACCATTTATCGTTATCTGTACAATTTACTTCCCTTGGCCAATAATCCTGCAAAAAATGTGGATGAGAGAATACAACTTAAATCATTTTTAATGACTTTAAATAATTTAGTTCAAAACCAATTAGCTAAAAATGAACTTTATTTCACAGCATTATTATTATTATTATTATTTATTTTTAAAAATTTTTTTTGAGTTGGAGTCTCACTCTGTCGCCTTGACCTACTGGGCTCCGGCGATCCTTCCACCTCAGCCTTACGAGTAGCCGGAATTACAGGCACGTGCTACCATGCCCGGCTGATTTTTTGATTTATTGTAGAGATGAGGTCTTGCTGCCCAGGCGGGTCTCGAACTCCCAGACTCAGGCAATCCACTCACCTCAGCTTCCCAAAGGCGCAGGATTACAGGCTGAGCCACCGAGCCCGGCTACAGCATTATTTTTTTAACTTGAAATAATCACAAGCCTCAGAAAATATATAAGTGATTTACTGAAAATATTGTCCCGAATAATTTGAGAAAAAATGACTTACTCGATAACTCATCTCAATAGCTCATTTAAAACTAGTACACTGCTTCTAAAGAACAAACACATCTCCCGCATAATCACAATATAACCACTGAAATCAGGAAATTGGCATTGGTACATTGTTTCTATCTAATCCTCGGACTCCATTCAAGTTTCAATTGAGCCAATAATGCCCTTTTTATCAAAAGAATCTAGTTCAGAATCAAATATTATGTTTCGGCTTCAAGTCTCTTTAGTCTCTTTCAGTCCACAATAGTTCTTCAGTATTTTCTTGGGAGGGAAAGGGGAGAATTGAAGGGCAGAATTTTTTTATTTTTAATTTTTTCCAGCTTTGATTAGATATAATTGGCAAATACAAAATTGTACATATTTATAATATACAGTGTGATGTTTTAATAAGTTTTAATAAGTGTATACATTGTTTTAACAAGTGTATACATTGTGAAATAATTGCCCAGAAAGGTAATTAATATATCCATCACCTTGTATAGTTTTTCTGTGTGTTGTGAGGACATTTAAGATCTAATCTTGGCAATTTTCAAGGACACAATACATTATTATTAACTATAATCATCATGATGATAAATAGATCTCCAGTATTTATTCTGAAACTTTGTCCCTTTAGCCCATTTCTCCACCCTCTTCCACAAGATCCTGCCATCCACATCAATTCTACTTTCTGCTCATTCGAGTTCCACTTTTATAGATTCTACATATAAGTGAGATCAGGCATAATTTTCTTTTTGTGCCTGGCTTATTTTATTTAGCATCGTGTCCTCCAGGCTCATTCATGTTGTCACAAATGACAAGAGTTCCTTCTTTATAAAAACAGAATAATATTCCATTATGTGTACAAATATATGTGTGTGTGTATATATATTACAAGGATCCCAAAAAATGTATACACATTTTAAGTGATGTTATCTATGTATTACTTTTCAAAGTTGAATTGAATTATGGCAGCAATGCATAGTACGATGTTTGCGCAACAGTGCTTCTGCTATTTTCTTTGACTATCATGCCTGTCACATAGTGACGCTAGCATTCATTTGATCAACACCATCTTTTGAGCAAACATCATACTTAAAATGTGTACACATTTTTTGGTAACCCCTGTATATGTACACATTTTCTTTTTTCATTCATATGTCGATAAACACTTAGGATGATTCCATATCACATGGGAGTGCAGAAACCTCTTTGACATACTGATTTCATTTCCTTTGGAAATACCCCAGAAGTAGAGTTGCTAGATCATATGGTAGTTCTAGTTTTTATTTTTTTATTTTTTTTTCGGAATCTCCATATGGCTTTTCATAATGGCTGTGTTAATTTACATTCCTACCAGCAATGTACAAGGCTCCCATTTCTCCACATTTCTATCGGCACTAGGTTTTTGTTTCATTGAAAACAGACATTCTAACAGGTGTGATTGTCTCATTGTGATTTTGTGTTTCCCTAATAATCTGTGATATTGAGCATATTTTCACACACCTGTTGGTCATTTGTATGTCTTCCTTTGAGAAATGTCTACTTAGGTCCTTTTGCCTATTGTTTAATCTGGTTATTTGTTTTCTTGCCACTGAGTTGTTTAACTTCCTTATATATTCTGGATATTAGCCCCTTAACAAATGTATGGTTTTCAAATATTTTCTCTCATTCTGCAGGCAGTCTCTTCATTTTGTTTATCATTTCCTTTGCTGTGCAGAGGTTTAGTTTGATGCAATTCCATTTATTTATTTTTGCTATTGTCACCTGTGCATTTAGCTTCATATTAAAAAAATCATCATACAGGCCATTGTCATAGAGCTTTTCCTCTGTTTTCTTCTAGTAGTTTTATAGTTTTAGGTCTTATATTTAAATCTTTAATCCATGTTGAGTTGATTTTTGTATATGGTGTGAGATAAGGGTTCAATTTCATTCTTCTTCATGTTAATATCCAGTTATTCCAATACCATTTATTGAAAAGACTTTCCTTTCTCCATTATGTGTTGTTGACAACTCTGTAGAAAATCAATTGACTGCAAAGGTGTAGATTTATTTCTGGGCTCTGTATTTGGTTCCATTGCTCTGTATGTCTGTTCTTATGCCAGTACCATGGGGTTTTTTGGGGGGTTTTTTTTTGAGCTGGAGTCACTCTGTCGCCCAGGCTGGAGTGCAGTGCCACACCCATGGCCACCCTCTCCCCTTTCCCCAGTGTCGACCTACAGGGTTCTTGCGATCCTTCCGCCCCAGCCTTCCAAGTAGCCAGAACTACAGGTATGTGCTACCACACCCAGGTAATTTTTTAATTTATTGTAGAGACGAGGTCTTGCCATGTTGCCTGGGCTGGTTGCGAACCTGCAAGCTCAGACAATCCACTTGCCTCGGCCTCCCAAAGTGCTAGGATTACAGGTTGAGTCACAGAGCCCAGGTCTACAATGCTTTTTTGATTACTACAACTTTGTAGTATATTTTGAAGGTCAGGTAGTATGACAAGTCCAGCTTGGTTGTTTTGTTCAAGATTGCTTTGGTAATTTCAGATGTTTTGTGACTCCATACAAATGTTAAGATTGTTTTCTATTTTTGTAGAAACAATGATTAGAATTTTGATAGGGATTTTAGTTAATCCATAGGTCACGCTGGGTAGTATGAATATCTTGACAATACTGATTCTTCCAATCCAAAAACACAAACAAGACATCTTTTCATTTATTTTTGTTGTCTTCAATTTCTTTCATCAATGTTTTATAGTTTTCGTTGTACAGAACTTTCACCTCCTTGGTTAAATGGATCCCTGTGTATTTTGTATGTGATTGTCTTATTAATTTCTCTTTTGGATAGTTCATTGTTAGTGCACAAAAATGCTACTAATTTTTGTATGCTGATTTAGTAGCCTCAAAATTAGCTGAATTCATGTAATATTTACAACAGTTTTTTGTGGTGTCTTCAAGGTTTTCTATATATAAGATAATGTTATCTACAAACAGGACAAGTTAACTTATTCTTTTCCAAATTAGAGAATTTTATTTCTTATTTTCCTAATTTTATTTCTAATTTTCCTAATTGTTCTGGTATAAATTACAGTACTATAATAAATAGGAGCACTGAGAGTAGGCATCCTTTTCTTGTTCCTGACCTTAGGGGAAAAGCTTTTAACCTTTCATCATTGAATATAACATTATCTGTCAGTTTTTCATATATGGTCCTTATATTGTTGATGTACATTCCTTCTGTACCTAATTTATTTAGAGTTCTCAACATGAAACTTTGTTGAATTTTGTCACATGCTTTTTCTGCATCTATAAAGATGCTAATATGATTTTATCCTACACTTTGTTGATGTAATTTATCACATTTATTGATTTGCATATGTTGAACCACCCTTGCATCCTATGGATCAATCCTTCTCGATTATGGTGTATGACTCTTTTAATGTGCTGTTGAATTTGGCTTGCTAGTATTTTCTTAGGGATTTTTGTATTAATACTCATCATAAGAAGTACTAGCAAGTAGTGTTCTTTTGTAATGTCCTTGTCTGGCTTTGGCATCAGGGTCATGCTGGTCTCATAAAATCAGTTTAAAAGTATTCCCTCCTCCTTTCTTTTTTTTTTTTGGGAGAATTTGAGAAGGATTAGCATTAATTATTTCAATATTTGGTAGAATCCATAAGAGAAGTCAAAGAGTTCTGGGCTTTTCTTTGTTGGGAAATTTTCAGTTACTGATTCAACCCCCCCCCATGATTTATTATTAGTCTGTTCAGATTTATTTTTATTTCTTCATGATTTAGTTATGCTATATTGTAGTTTCTATGAATAATCCATTTCTTCTATGTTATTCAATTTATTGGTGTATAATTTTTCATAGTAGTCTCTTATGATTCTTGGTATTGCTGTGGTATCAACTAATGTTTCCTCTTTCATTTCTGATTTTATACCTGAAATGGCTCTCTTTTTTTCTTAGTTTAGCAAAGGGTTTGACAGTTTTATCTTTTCAAAAAACAACTCTTAGTTTCACTGATAATTTCTATTCTTTCTAGTTTCTCCTTCATTTATTTTTGCTCTGATCTTCATTATTTCCTTCACTCTGCTGTCCTTGGGGTTAGTTAGTTCTTGTTCTACTTCCTTGAGGCATAAGTTAGGTTGGTAATTTGGTATCTTTCTTTTTTATTAATGTATACATTTGTTTCTATAAACTTCCCTCTTAGAACTGTTTTTTGCTGAATCTCATAAGTTTTAGTATTTTTTCTCATTTTCATTTGTTTCAAGATTTTTTTTTTTTTTTTTTGAGTTGGAGTCTCACTCTGTCACTGGCCACTGCAGCCTTGACCTGCTGGGTTCCAGCGATCCTTCCACCTCAGCCTTCCCAGTAACTGGAACTACAGATACACGCTACCACCCCCGGCTAATTTTTTTTTTTATTGTAGAGATGAGGCCTCGCCAAGTTGCCCAGGTGGGTCTCGAACCAGCAGGCTCAGGCAATCCACTCACCTCAGCCTCCCAAGGCTCGGGATTACAGGCTGAGCCACCGAGCCCGGCTGTTTC